TTTGTTTTTATGACAGGTTTTGATAATGCCAAACCGCCGTGATCAAGTCAAACTTTGAATATAAAAGGCGAAGAAGGAAGACAAGAACAAGAGCTAAAAGAAGACCAAGAACGAAGACCTTAGTCTTAGTGTCGTTGAGTCGGTCTTCATTGTGATCAAGACCGACCCAATCTTTACACCTTGGCTCTTTAGGCTAAAATCTTTCATTGCATTTCTTAAATCATAAAAATGTTTTTTAAACATGTTTAAGTCATTAAAAACACTTGGTGTTTGCCCAAACCAAAAACCAAGCCATCCAGCGTTCGGTTTTTCAGAAACCGGCGTTCGGCTCTCGGTTATCGGCTATGGTTTTTGGCGTCCGAACCAACAAAGTGGTTTTCAACTTTTTATGATTGGTTTTCACTCTTTGGCATGTTTAAACGGTTCTCCAACAAAAACACCTTGAAAACCATCTTTCGCTTTTGGTCATTTGACAAAAATCATTCAAAACGGCATAAACTTGGCTAGCCGTGGTTTTCACTCAAATTACGTGGTTTTTGAAGTGTCTTACTTGATTTCTTAGCCAAATACATCAAATAATTGTTTTAAACACTTGGTTTTTATTTTGGAGAACTTTGAATTTTTCGGTCGAGTTTCGCATCGGTTGGCTAGGCCGTGGTTAAGGCAAAAACCATGGGTTCTTGACTAACCACCCACCCAGCGATGGGAAGATCTTCCCATCGATGGGTAAGCGGCCCCTCAGCCAAACCAGTTTCCAGAACCATGCCAAACAACGATGGGGAGTTCTACCCATCGCTGTTAAAGCCTTGGTGCAATATTAACACAAGGCAGAACGACCTTGCCCAGCGATGGGAAACCTATCCCATCGATGGGAACCCAGCAATGGTAAGGGTATACCATCGATGGGAAGGCATGACCATTGGTGGTCATTAAAGGTTGATTCTTTCCTTGTTTGGAAGTCAACCTCCCACCCAGCGATGGGAAGCTTGTACCCATCGATGGGTAGGTGACCGTTGACTTCAAAACTGAAGGAAAATTGGCTTACCAGCGATGGTTGAGTCTAAACATCGATGGGAAGCCAATAT